TGAAATACTTACAGCTCAAAATTAATGGCATCTCTATTCCAATCCCCAAAACTTAATTTCTAATAATTCCTGGGTGGGATGGTGTCACCTAATCCATCCTCAAAAAGTTAGTGCCCAATGTTTTTCCATACTCAATAACAAATGTGACCCAAACAAAATCTTCCAACCACCTCACTGGGTGTGTCCCATTTTTCATTGAGTGTGGGAGAGGGAGATGATGTGTTTTGGGAACTAACAATTTTTTGTTTGATCTGATATATTAGGTTAGAGGGGCTGGCTTTTAGCGTGATACAAAACTTGTTGGGCACTAAAGAGCTTTTAGGGATCGGTTAGATGTGTCTTTTTCCTTCAAACAAAATATTTTTGGTACTTAGAGGGTTTTTAGGACGGATTGGAGTTGCTCTAAGAGCATGTACTACGCTCCATGGTGGACTACTAACTCACAAATGCATGCCGGAAGGGAAGCTGCCGTGGAGGAGAAAACGCTAAAAGACGACTGCCTGCAGAGCCAAACAAGATCTTGCATAGGAGCCTACTTCCTCGCTGAAAAGTGCTTGAGAAAAGTAAAAAAATAAGGGAGGGAGAAGAGGAGAGAGAACTAGGAGATGTTGCTTCCCTTGGGTGTGGGTTATCAATGCTACCTGCCTGCCTCCATGCTTCATGCCCTAAGAGTGCTCCGAGAACCATAGTATGACCAAAATGTCTTTGAAACTCCCAAAAAGATTATTAGCTTCATAAAACTTGAGCTTGAATTTTGATATGAACATTAAGAAATACAGAAATGAACCGACTCATTATTACTATTACATGTCAAAAAATATTTTCCTAACTTTGTCAACTTGTTTGTTGTAATATGAAGTTTCAATTTCGTGTGGATCTCCTTAAATGTTTGAAGAATGTGTGTTGATCTTTTGGTTGTGCTCCACTATTGTGGAGCGCGTCTTTGTTTTCTTTTACCTTTGCCTCAGTATTCAACATTTGAACTCTAAGTTGTGACAATCTTTGTTAATGAAGTTGGGTGAGACTTCTTATCAAAGAGAAAATGTGCTAGTGCTCACAGCTAGATGCATAATCACATGATGGACGCAACCCTAGTCGATGTCACGGTCACGTCATATCACACACCATGCACAACTCATGATCCATTTGATCATAAACCTCTCCATCACAAACGAAGCATAAAGTAGTGAAATCTCAAAAAGAAGAACATAAACCAATGAAAAGGTGAAACAAAACTAAACTTTAACTTTGCATGATGTGGTGTCAAACTACCACATTGGCGAGCTATGGTTGTTGTATTACTTGTTGTTTTCTTGCATCCTTCATCGAGACAGACGAGGGAGAAAGAAAGGTGGGCATTAACAGTGCTAGGTGGGAGACGACGTGCGATGGTCGGAGAATAATTCTAGCGGCTATTTAGTGTGGCTGCGAAGAATCTTGCACCTTTGCCTAGGATGATGAATCTAGTAGGTAGTACATGTCAGATATCTGACTCCAAGGCCAAGCAACTAGCTGTGAGTCGTCATCTCCCCCTTGCCCATTCCGCATCATATACCACGCCGAAGAAAGAATATTAGATTTATTCCCCTCAATATAGAAAAGTAATCTCGGGCTATTTTAACGGCTAGAAAAAGATTCCCCAAATCCAAAAAGGGACCCAACCACTTGGATCAAACAGATTTTTGCCTCATCACGCATCTCCCAGCACCTGGTCTCGCAAACCCGATTCACATACTCTTCGGGCCCACCGGAATTTGAGCTCTTATAGGTCCAATGCGCTGCGTTCATGAGGTTGGTGCCCCAAATGGATGATGAACGTAGTACCAGATGTTTTCACAATCATGGCTGACAGTTTGATACCACATCATGTATGGTGAGTTGACGCAACACAAAATAAGCAAGGCAAGGAAAATAAAAAGAAATGTTTGAGCCGATAAGAAGCCCGTTGTAAAAAAAAAATAGCAGGAATACAGGTGGTAGTGCTAGAACTATGCCTTCCTAACCGGCCAAAATGCCGCCAGAAAGGAATAAAAAAACAGTGTTGAATTTAGCCTAAACACTGCCAGTAGTATGAATGTGATGTGCCCTGCCTATTCATGATATAAAATGCAAATAACTTGTGCAGAAAATGTGGAAAAAGTATTCATACAAATAGTACAAACATTGCATTGGACCTTTGGGTTCGGTGAATCTAGTGTAGTACGAGTTGTCGCCTTCTCTTCGTCTCAAGTAGAGGCTATATATGACTTGGCTGCAACATCCATCACGACCAGAGAAAGAAGGAAGGGAAAAGAAGGAAGGAGGAAGAGGAAGGACAAAGAAGAAAGAAATGCACAACATAAACGTGGGTCGAACGTGGTTGCCGGGTCGACCATGTGGTCATGGAGATTCATGCTTTGTGAATAGTCCGTATGTACGTGGCATGCTTGTATCAATTCTTGACCCGTTTTTCATTAATTAAGTAGGAAATTCTTTTTTTTCTTAATTAACCGACGGGATAATTCTTTTTGCAGCCGTTTCATAAAAAAAATATGATTTGCCGTCGGGCATGAAATAGGAGAAAAAAGGACGGAGTTTCCTGGCAAAGAAAAAAAGAACGGAGTTGACCCATGGACTCACGGACGAGCGAGACAGAAAGGCGGGCGAGCGACGCTGGGCGGGAGACGGCGTGCGATGGCCGGAGAGGAGAAGAATTCCGGCGTCATTTTTATCTCTCTTTTCTACGGTGACGTAGAGCGGCGAGATTCAGCGCGGCCGCCGGCTGGTGCGCTGAATCTAGCTGGTGCGTCTCGTAGGCCGAGCAGCCAGTCGCGAGCCGTCACCTTTCCCGGCCGCCCATCCGCATCACGCGTCACTCCAAGAGAATCTCCGATTTGTTTCTCTTAAAATAAAGGACAGAAAAAGGAATCTCTGGCCTACTTTTTTTTTAAGCATCAGTACAGACACAAGCGCTCATATACACACGCATACACTCATCCCTATGAACGCACACACGCACACCCTACCCTATGAGCACCTCCGAGAGACTGAGCCGGCATGTCATCTTCAGATTTACGAAGTCACCGTAGGCGCCTCATCGTTGACGGGAACGTCTCCTCCCACTGAAAGCGCATCGCCAGAAATCCTGAAATAAATCCAGGAATAATGCGAGCACCAGGATTTGAACCCTGGTGGGTTGGAGATATCACTGTCTACCTAACCAACTCAACCACAAGTTGATTCGCTCTCTGGCCTACTTCTATGGCTCGTGGCTAATCCCAGCCACGCATCCAAACAGGCTCTGGCCCATCACGGAGTCTCGCAGCGCCCGGTCTAGCCCCCCGATTGACCGACTCCGTGGGCTCTCCATGCTGTAGTGCCCCGCACGGATGGTGAACGCAATCCCAATTTGTCTCAAAAAAAAAAACGCAATCCCAGTATTTGTCGTGCAGTGTACCATATTTTTACACTCCCTCCATTTGAAAAGTAATACTTGTCGGAGAAATGAAAAAAAGATAGATATATCTAAAATAAAAATACGTCTAGATCCATCCATTTCTTCGACGAGTATTTCCAGACGAAGGGAGTAGAAGAGAGCAACAAGATTATAAGATGCGTACAATCGATGTGTATATCAATCGTTGGCACATCAACACCATCCAAAACACGCCAAAACTAACCACTCACAAAACGATCTGGACCACCTGCACTGACATCCGCAAATTTCCACTCTCTAATCATGACAGTAGAACGCACACCAGCAAATGCCTTCGGACCTAACGTATCATGCATATGGCTCAGGGCATCTCCAAATGCGGATCACAAAGACGTCGTTCCATTCTAGAACTCTCTAAATATTTGGATCGGATAGTCCGGACATAATCAAGCCTTCAACGTGAATGATGAAAATGAATTTGACCGGTTTTGCCCACCAGAAATCTCACAAGCCGGCCCCGAATCGAGGGAGCCCCGGGGAGTCCCGACGTCCGCCGTGTCAGACTTCAACGCCCCGAACTCACTCAAAACCACACCTAGAGCCCGCATATTTCCACAGTTGTGTCGCTCCTTTCGCGCCAAAGCACGCCCTTTTTGAATTCAGCATAAGCATTAACGGCAAGTTGTGTTCATCGAGGACGACACATTTAGTTGGCGAACACGACAAATCCGCCACAGTTCATTTATCGTCGGGAAAAAATGCCGTGGTTGAAGACTAAATTTGTCATTCTCGCGTTACAAATTGCCACTATCGTTAAAAATGCTCAATTTGTCATGTCTAAAAACTCAACGACAGAAATTTAGAATTTTCGCAAGGAAATGGATTATTTAGCCAGTTGGGTTGGGCGAAAGTGGTCGAACGGGTCGTCGCTTCTCAAAGCCTCAAAGTGCCGGGCAAGGGGCGGCCAATGAAGAGGCCGTCACATGAGCTCCACCCACCCGCACCAGAATCTCCCATTTATTTTATCGGACTGGAAAAGAATCTCGTGTGCCTTTTTTTGGCGCTTGCTTAGAAAAAGATTCCAAATCCCCGTGGGCCCCGGCCAGTTGGAGGGATCCAGCCAGCGCCCAGCAACGACGTACCCGAACAAACTCCGCCCCCCACGCCCCTCCCGGAACCCCGTCCACTGGACCCTCCTGAGCGACCCCTGGGCCCCACCGGAATCTCAGTTCTGGCTCGCCCAGTGCGCCGCGTCCACGTGGCGGTGCCCCAGGCGGACGATGCCCCCGCGCGTCCGCATCAGCCGCGCACGCAAGTCGCCTTGGCCTTGGCCAGTGGTGGCCGCGCACGGGACCGAGGCGCACGCACGCAGACGCGGACGGGGACGGGACTCTCGCCGCTGCACGCACGCAGACGCAGAGGCAGACGCGGAGGAGGAGAGGGAGCGATGGCGGCTGGGACTGGCCGGGTGCTGCCGCTGCTGGCCGTGGCGGCGGCGCTCGCGGCCGCGCTCCTCTACACCGCGCCCTTCTCCAAGGTGAGCGGCGCCTGGCGCCCCCTCGAATCTGCATGCGGCGGTAATGGTATGGTGGCGGAGACTGACGGGTGTTTGTTGTTTTTGCGCGCGCGCGTGCAGAGTCTGGGCGGCGAGGGGTGCAGCCTGCTCCCGCACGGCCACTTCTGGATCGCCAGCCAGCGGGTCGTCGCGCTCGGCCGCGTCGGCCCCGCCGCAGGTACGCCGCCCCTCCCTTCCATTCCGCCTCAATCGCCCCGGCGTCCAAAAAGTCAAACTGATGCGTGATTGGTGCGTGTGTCTGTATGTTGTGTGTGCAGTGGAGGTGAAGGAGGGGCTGATCAACGCCATCGCCGTGGGGGACTACCGGAGCTTCGTGCTCCGCCGCCCGCTCGTCGACTACGGGGACGCCGTCATCATGCCCGGCCTCATCGACGTGTAAGCCACACAAACTGTCACTGAATGAGTTACTGTCTCTGAAGATAATCACTCGCCGTGAGTTACATACATCTTTCACGGTGGCGTTGCACTTTCAGGCACGCGCATCTCGACGAGCCCGGCCGGGCCGAGTGGGAGGGCTTCTCCACCGGCACAAGAGCCGCCGCCGCAGGTGCGAGTCCGTTATAATTAATTACAGTAGTTCAGAGCCACACTCCACAGCACTTCCGCCTGTATCTGTCTGTGCTAATCAGGATTCAGGAGCAACCTGATATGCTAAGTACAGTCGTTTTCCTCTTAAGTTAACAAACATAACATATATAGAAGTAACATTACTGGCTCTTGCAGCTTTGGATTACGACTGATTTAGCAGGAATTAGTAATCAGATGTCTTCTTCCTTGCTCCATGGTTCTGCAAATTGATTCCTCCATTTTCAGGTGGCATAACAACGTTGGTGGACATGCCTCTCAACAGCTTCCCGTCCACGGTCTGTGAAGAAACTCTCAAACTCAAGGTCCAGAGTGTTCCCTTCTTGGACGTTTCAGTACTACTCCCTCCGTTCCGATTTACTCGTCGTGGTTGGCCACGACGAGTAAATCGGAACGGAGGGAGTAGTACACTAGCCCATAGCGTGCGCATGGTTGCTCCCAGCCTTTTCTGTTACTAACACCAACGTGCTTGATTATCAGGTGGATGCAGCTCGGGATAAGCTATATGTTGATGTCGGTAAGTGCCACGGTTCAAGGGAGGCCTTGTACCATGTGCATAGGATCTCAGCATTTTTGCTTTGTTTTCTGAACAGAAATGCTTCATCTGAATCTGTTTCATATCTGACTTGTTTGCTCTTCTTATATAGGGTTTTGGGGAGGCCTTGTGCCCGAGAACGCCTTGAACCCAAGAAAATTGGAGAGCCTGCTAAATGCAGGAGTGTTAGGACTTAAGGTCAGTTTCTCAACTAATAACAGTTGATGCCTCATCATTTCTGGTTGACACTATTGTCTAGTACCTCTGTTTCTTGTTCCCTTTTCTTAAAAAAAAACTGACATTACAAGGAGATACTGACTGAATTTTCTTCTTCTTTTATTCCAGTCTTTTATGTGCCCCTCTGGCATCAACGACTTCCCCATGACAAATTCAACCCACATCGAGGTACGCTGCTTTGTCATCTCTGCCATATTTAACTTGGCCACAACAAGATTTTCATAATTCTGTTTATGGAGTCCCTGAACTAGTTCATCGTCCTGTGTTCGCACTATAGGAGGGCCTGGTTACATTGGCAAAGTACAAGAGGCCCTTACTTATCCACGCAGAGCGCATACCGGATGTCGTGAGTGACGAGGAGCTCGATGGCGAACTAGATCCTCGATCTTACGCAACCTACCTGAAGTCTAGAACTCCAGCATGGTAATTTACATTTTGCCAACATGTAATTGTATACTACCCTCTCTGAGCTGGAGAGTGCCATATGTTTTCTTTTGACTGTACAATTCAGGATTAATGAATTACAGAGATTCACTAATTAGTCCTATGATCTCCTATACCCAGGGAGGAATCAGCCGTTAGGGATTTGAAACGTGCCATGAAGGACACCGAGGTGGGGGGCCGGTCAGAAGGAGCTCATCTTCACATTGTCCATCTCTCAGATTCAAAAACTACCCTTGAGCTTCTGAAGGTGCGACGACATACTCCATTTCCTCGGTTCTCTTGGTCGTTGTTTTACCGATAATTTTTGTGCTTGCAGGATGCGAAACACAGCGGCGCAAAGGTCACTATAGAAACCTGTCCTCATTACCTCGCATTTTCGGCGGAGGAAGTTCCAGATGGGGACACTCGTTTCAAGTGCTCTCCTCCCATACGCGACGCCGCCAACAAGGATAACCTCTGGGAGGCTCTACTTGTATGCCATCTCCTATCCCTCCCGATTCCGACTCGCTGCAACATTGTGAATAATAGTTCTAGCTAGGCTAACTTTTGAATCGACGAATGCCAGGATGGTCACATCGACATGCTCAGCTCGGACCACTCGCCCTCGACTCCTGATCTCAAGCTAATGGAGGAAGGCAACTTCATGAAGGCATGGGGAGGTATCTCATCTCTGCAGGTTAGTTTGCTCAAATTGTTTGTGTAAGCGTGCACATTTTTCAGCAGAATCATATTGCCAAACTATTGCATACATACATACATACAGAACTGATGCGAATTCACCGTGTTTTTCTCACAAATTTCTGCAGTTTGTGCTCCCTGTAACATGGTCACATGGGAAAAAGTATGGCATCACCCTGAACCAGCTAGCCTCATGGTGGAGCGAGAAGCCCGCCGAGCTAGCGGGACAGAAGAACAAGGTAAGCAGTGCATCTTAGCACACAGAGATTGAATATTTATTTGCTCCAAATGTAATGTTGATTGCGATGATAGGATCAAAGTGGTAAGACTCAAGAGCTGCACTTGTTTTGTGTAGGGGTCTATTCTGCCGGGGTACCACGCCGACATCGTGGTGTGGAAACCCGAGGCGCAGTTCCACCTCGACGACACCCATGCCGTATACCACAAGCACCGGGTTCGTTCCCCAGCTCCCTAAAACCATGAATCTTTACACTGCTCCAACAGTTATACTATTTGAACTGAAAATCAGACTGATCTCGCGTTTTGTTTGCAGAACATCTCGGCGTATCTCGGGAAGGAGCTATCGGGCAAGGTGCTGTCGACGTTCGTGAGGGGGAACCTGGTGTTCGCCGAAGGGAAGCATGCCGGGGCCGCCTGCGGCGCCACCATCCTCGCCAAGTGAAACCGTAGAGCTACAATATCTCCGCTGATTTCTAGCGTATATGATCGTGTGCGCTATGTAGTATGTATGTGTGCAGATTTGTACTTAGTTGTTTCCCTGTGTATAATTGGATCCAGTGCATGCATCCATTCCCCTCCATTGTGTATACCCACCCATTCATTGGACAGCACCAGGTGTAGGCTATTTCTCTGAATTATTCAGATGTAGTAGTTCTGATTTCTGAACTTCTGAGTTGTGATAATATCTATGGGAGGGATGTGAATTATTCTGCTACTCTTATCACTTGCCCACGAATTTTCAGCTGTAAAAAAAGATCTTCCTGGATTATTCAGACACTCTGTTTTTGTACCGTATTCGAATTTGCAGAGGCTCAGGCGCAAAGAAGTGAAGAAGGCGTATTTTCTTGTCTACGTTAAGCCCTCGATGAAGCGGTATGGGGTTTTGGATAAGGCTGGCTGAACGCGGCCGCGTGTTCCAACTCCCACCTCCGTCTCCGGCGGGAAGCGGAGACCTCCCGCTCCCACTACCATTCCGGCGGCCATGGCCACCGCCGCCTCAAACCTTTACCTCCGCCTGCCGTCGACACTCCCCTGTACAGTTTCCTTCCCCACCCGCCTCTCGCGCATTCCACACGCTCCGCCGCGACGCATTCGGACGGCCGCCTCGCGAACCTTAGCACCGCCCGCCACGTCGGAAGTCCCGGAGGTGGAGGAGCTGCGGATGGAGGCGGAGTCCGCGCTGGAGTGGGGCGGCGTGTGCGCGCGGCTGGCCGACTTCGCCGCCACCGCCGCGGGCCGCGCCGCCTGCGGGGAGGGCCGGGTCCCCGTCGGCCTTAGCCGGGAGGAGAGCGAGCGGCTGCTCGAGCAGACCGCCGCCGCGTCGCTGCTCTCGGCGCCGCTGGATTTCGGCGGCGTGGGCGACGTGTCCGCGGTCGTCGCCGCGGCCGCCCGTGGCCGGCTGCTCGCCGTGCGGGAGATATGCGGCGTCGGACGCAGCCTCCGGGCCGCGCGCGGGGTGTTCGACCAAGTGAAGAGCCTCGCCGAGGAGATGCCAGATGGGAGGTAAGGGGATTGGTTCAGCTTCACTGTTGGCTGGAAATGAAATCAAGCTAAACCATAGTGATTTGGTAGAAATACATCATTTCCTTTGTCGAAAATCTCCACGGTTCCATTTCAACAGACACAAAACCCGCCAACGCGTCAGGTTCTGCTTAACTCTTGTGGAAACGGATTCGAGCAAAACTGTAGTGATGATTTGGTAGAAATGCAACATTTTCTTTGCATAAAATCTCCTTGGTTCCATTTCATCAAACACAAAACCCACCAACCCAGTAGGTTCAGCGCAAAGCAGTATTGGAACACTGAAACACAACATTGATGAAATGAATTCAAATCAGTGTAGCTCATAAGGTTTCTTTGTGCAAGTGGCTGCCGAAGTAGCCGTCTGGGAGAGGTGGCCTCATGATGCGGCGGACGTTGGCCGAGAACATAAGCTGTGTCGTAGCATCCGGGGGTAGCTTCCGGGCTAATTTGGGGCTAAAATTGATGCAGTGCCCCGTTTGGACTATATTGAGTTATGCAACTCAGCTTGGGTAGTTGGGTTGTATAATTGTTATTACCAATGGCACAAGATCTTAAGATATTTTGTTGGTTCATCCTCTGCAGGTACTCTCCTCTTCTGGATATACTGCAGGGCTGCGACTTCTTGACAGAGCTTGTAAAAATGATTGAGTTCTGCCTTGACTCCAATCTCTCTATGGTCCTTGATCGGGCAAGCGAAAGACTAGGAACAATCCGCAAGGAAAGGAGGATGAACATCGATATGCTAGAATCCCTGTTGAGAGATACATCCGTGAAGATTTTCCAGGCAGGCGGGGCTGATAGCCCTGTGGTCACTAAGCGCCGCTCTAGAATGTGTGTTGGTGTTAAAGCTTCACACAAGCATTTGGTGCCTGGTGGAATTGTTCTGAGTTCCAGTGGCTCTGGTGCGACCTACTTTATGGAGCCAAGGGATGCCGTCAAGCTGAACAACACTGAAGTAAAACTCTCGGGCGATGAGAGAGCTGAGGAGTTGGCAGTATTGGGCTTACTAACTTCAAGAATAGCAGATTCCCGAACGAAGATCAGGCATTTGATGGGGAAAATATTGGAGCTGGACCTGGCTTGCGCTAGAGGTTCATATGCCCTATGGATAAATGGCGTGAGGCCTGCCTTCAGTGACAGGGATAGCAGTAGTGAATCGGACCCAAGTGGCGCATATTCAGTATTTATTGAAGGCATTCGACATCCTTTGCTCCTTGAACAGTCCCTTGGCATTGCAGAAGAATCGGCCGCCACTGAAGCAACTGAAGTGGGGAAAGAACAGCTATCTGAAGACCACCCTGTCCCTTCAATGCCTGTTCCATTGGACATGCATGTGAAGAATGATACTAGGATAGTTGTGATCTCCGGACCTAACACCGGAGGCAAAACTGCTACTATGAAGACCTTGGGATTGGCCTCTCTTATGTCAAAAGCTGGAATGTTCTTCCCGGCCAAAGGAAGGCCTAGGCTTCCATGGTTTGATCAGGTTCTTGCAGACATTGGTGACCACCAGGTAGTCTCTGTCTTTTGAAGAGAGTTTCTCTAATCACTTGTGGGACAAATATGTTTATTGATGCAAACTGTTTTCTGGATTGAAGTCTCTGGAGAATAGTCTCTCTACCTTCAGCGGGAACATATCACGTCTTCGCAAGATTGCACAAGTTGTATCAACAGATTCTCTTGTTCTTATTGATGAGATTGGCAGCGGCACTGACCCATCAGAAGGTGTATCCCTTTCAACTAGCATTTTGAAGTATCTTGCTAGTAGACTAAACTTGGCTGTCGTGACAACCCATTACGCTGATCTAAGCCGTCTTAAAGCTGTTGATGATCGATTTGAGAATGCTGCAATGGAATTTTGTTTGGAAACCCTGAAACCAACATATCGAGTATTATGGGGAAGTACCGGTAATTCGAATGCATTGAGCATTGCAAAGTCAATTGGCTTTGACCAGAAAGTACTCGATCGTGCACAAGAATGGGTTGAGAAACTATTGCCTGACAAACAAAAGGAACGCCAAGGTTTACTTTACGGCTCTCTGCTGGACGAAAGAAACCTTCTGGAGTCCCAGGCAAATGAAGTAGCATCTGTTCTTTCAGAAGTTGAGGATCTTTACAATGAGGTGCATCTCTTTACTGTTATTATCTGTTTTGACAATTTTTCACAGTAGTGATTTCATACTTTCAGTTGAAACCTCACTTGATAATAATTTGATTTTGAAGATTCGCTTAGAAGCTGATGAGCTAGATAACCGAGTAGCTGCTTTGAAGGCAAGAGAGTCTCAAAAGGTGCAACAAGAGTTGAAGTCTGTAAAGTCTCAGATGGACCTTCTAATCAAGAACTTTGAAGTTCAACTCAAGAATTCAAAACTCGAACAGTACAACTCAGTAATGAGGAAAGCAGAAGCTGCGACGGCTTCCTTGGCTGCTGCTCATCAGCCAACTGAGTTTGCTGTCAGCGACGATGAAAACAAGAGTTTATATGTTCCTCAAATTGGAGACAAAGTGTATGTTGAAGGACTGGGAGGCGGGAGTATGGCCACTGTTGTCGAGATACTCAGTGAAGATGGGAGCTGTATGGTTCAGTATGGAAAAATAAAGGTGCGGGCCAAGAATAACAAGATGAAGCTGGCCCAGAGAGACGCGAAGGAGACATCGGCTTCTTCCTCGGCACAAGGAAAGGTGCGCTTTGCATCTGCTCTATAATAGATTATCCAGCTGCATTTATTTTGGTTTTACTCATCATTTGGCATGCAACATGAATACATGATAAACCTGTTTGAAATGTTGGAAACCTAGTGTAGCCACTGACATAACATACATCATATATTTCGTCAACATAACTGTGGTCAAGAACCAATGGCGTCGCTTTGACTGCTGTGTCCGCGATGAAATGTACTTTTATCAAATGATATTTTGCTGAGGTTCTCACTGCCGTCTAGAGAGGGCAGGCCTGGCGCAGTGGTGAAGTCCTCCCCACTTGTGCCAAGAGGTCCTGGGTTCGAACCAGCCTCTCTGCATTGCACTTTGCAGGGGTAAGACTAGGTTCCTATAATACCTCCCCAGACCCCACCTTGTGTGGGAGCTTCTATGCACTGGGTCTGTCCTTTTTCTCACTGCCGTCTAGGTTCTTCTCAGACCCTATTCAAGTATCCGTTTCAGAAACATGTGCTGTTGTGCATAGAAACATGGTGTATTCAATGCTGGTTCGTTCTATCCGTTTCAGAAAATCTGCGCTGCCCGATGCGCTAGGCTAGCACACCCAGTTTCTCCGAAGGACGGACTCAACTTTAGGTTTGCATATATCTTTCGTTTCCATCGAGTTGGGTCGTCGGATGCTCCATTAGGCTGGTATCATGTGTTCCCCAGCCAACTGGCCATATCCGCCATCCTACTTTTCTGTCGGTACGCTCCGCGTCCTACACGTGGCATGTTAGCATGGCGAGCTCGGGATGGAAACCGAGTTCGCTCGAGCCCTACAGGATGCATTGAATCTGACATTGCTGGTACTATTGATGATTCCGGCTTTAGTTCGGGTAGATGCAGTGTGGAGCAACCTAGGCTGGAGCGGGCACACATTGGTCCATGCAAAGCTAGACCGGTGGAGTGGATCCATGCATGCACCTTAATTAAGTGAACTCCCATCGTATGTTCCAGGCGGCGTATGATTGGCGTAATGTTCTCCCTCATCATAAGCTAGACTGTATTATTCAGCAGGCCCAAGCTAGACTGTATTATTCACCAGGCCCTGTAATAATGTTCTGCCAAGTTGATGTTTTACGCCTACGGTGTGGCAATTTGGCAGGGATCTCGAGCACAGAAGCGGTCTGCAGCGGGCACGGCGCAGACCGGCAGCGTCTCCTTTGCCCCGGCGGTGCAGACGTCGAGGAACACGGTGGACCTGCGGGGGATGCGGGTGGGCGAGGCGTCGCATGAGCTGGAGATGGCCATTGACGGGTGCAGGGCGTACCAGGTCCTGTTTGTGGTCCACGGCATGGGCACCGGGGCGGTGAAGGAGTGCGCGCTGGGCGTGCTCCGGAGCCATCCCCGGGTGGTGAGGATCGAGGACGAGAGCCCCCTGAACTACGGCTGCACCGTCGCCTACATCGAGTGAATGAAGATGCAAATCGACGGCGGCGCCGCTCGAGTCCGTACCTACAGCAGCGACAGCTATACATTTTACAGATCGTAGACAACAGAGTTCTCCTGCGTGTTGTAGAGCAAAACACACACACACACACACACACACACACACACACAACAGAGTTGGAGCTACATACATAGAGAAGAAAAAAAAAGGAAAATTACGCAGAGTTTTTGGGCCCCTGTTTTCAGTGCGAGAACTGAACTGTTACATTAGAAGATATCCACTGGGCGGAATTGAGCCGGCCTGGCGACATTGGAAGAAGAGGTTGGAGGGACACGGGTGGTGGTGGCCCAGCGAGAGCGAGGGAGTAATGTAATGGGCACTGTGGTGGTTGATTCTGGTGGATATACGACGGCGCCATTCAAGTTTGCCCTAGAGAATCAAAATCGAGCTAGATGCAGATGGTCATGGTGGGTAGGTTCATGCATGCACATGCGCATGAGGGCGCTTCTCTGGAGCGATGCGATGCATGGGCACGCGGATTCTTTTTGTATGCCGAGGTCTCATCTTTCATCGGTTTCGCTACTACCGGCACCAGGGGCTATGTTTCATTCACACAAAGACACGGTGCATGTGAGGACTGCAGTGGAATAAGAATGAGGTAAAATCACTCGCTGAAGGTCAACGCCCCGGCGCCTAACCAGTTGGTTCGTACTATGATGCTAAGCCAGAGATACTTGAAAATGATGCTCCACGGCTGATGATAACATTACTAAAATCCATTTTTTTTCTTCTCAAGTACAATATACATCCAATGTCAGAGTTTTAGAGTTAAAAATCTGGTGCCCTCAGGCACGTCGCATGGCAAACTTGCTGACATTTGTGTTCGTACACAATGCCCTCTGTACAGAAATATTAGTGATGTAAATGCTCTTATGTTTTTTTTTATAGAGGGAGGGTGTGCAGGGTAATGTTGACTTTAGAACATGATAAATCTTAGTACACGGCATCATAAGAAATTTATATGTTTCCGCGTGGCAATCTTTAAACACCATTTAAGTGGTCTCATTTATTGCCATGCATGACACAGTAGCATCACATTTATTATGTTACGGTATCTACCTATGTTAATATAACCATCTCTCTCTTCTTTAATTGCCTGCCACATAAGCATGTTTGCGAGTCCCAAGTACATGATACTACTTATGTTCCCCCCACTATGGCCAGCCTTACCATTTTTACAGGGTTTTCCGCAAAATCTTAGTACACGCCGCCCGGATTCTTTTTGTATGCCGAGGTCTCATCTTTCATCAGCTTTTTACTATTTTTTCTTTTTTTTCGAAAAGGGGGTGTACCCCAGCCTCTGCATACGGCTCATATTATTAAAAAGATAATCCAGTAACAAAGTCTCCAAAGGTCGTAGTGCGAAAATAAACAAAAGCTCAAAAGAGCTAAGACCCAAAGCCACAACCGGCTGGCAAATACAATAGGAGCACTACATGCCTATCCTATTACATGACCGCCATCCAAACCGGTTGAAAATATCCCGAACTACCATCTCCCATCGGGTAGACGCAGTAACCAAACGCTCCCTAGCCTCCGTCGAAGTGAGTAGCGATCACATACGGATGAAGGCTGTGGCCCTGAAGATAACCTGCAAAAAGTGAATGTTTGTTGATCTGTTCAAGACTAAATCATTTATGCAGTTCCATACTGCCCAAAATAAAGCACAAACGCCAACACGAATGTGTCTTGCAGTATCAGAATCAACCCCATCAAGCCATGTTCCAAATACCATGTTTGATAGAGGTTGGCTGATTAATATTAAATGCAATATGAATCGACCGCCACAGAATCTTAGCCAACGGACAATCGAGAAAGAGGTGTTTGATGCTTTCGTTATGATCGCAAAAGCTACACCTAGACGAGCCCACCCAGTTGCGTTTTGCAAGGTTATCCTTAGTCAAAATGACTTGTTTATGCACAAACCACATAAACACTTTGATTCGTAAGGGTACTTTAACTTTCCAAATGTGCATCGAGGAAGGGATGACGCTAGAGTTAATGACATCCAGATACATTGATTTGACCGAGAACACACCGTTTGTAGTAAGTTTCCAATGCAGCTGATCTGGCTGCTGGGACAGCCGGACTTCCATTAAACGTCTAACAAGATGGAGCCAGGCCTCCCAACGATTTCCAACTAGCGTCCGTCGAAAACTAATATTGAGGGGAGCGGATTGTAAAATAGTTGCAACGTAGGCTTCTCTACGTCAGACAATGTTGTACAAAGTAGGATATTGAAGTGCAAGGGGGGTCTCCCCAAGCCACGTATCCTCCCAAAACCTCGTAGTGGCACCATTCCCGACAATAAATTTTGTCTTGTTGAAAAAGAGTTGTTTAACTCTCATCAAACCCTTCCAAAAAGGTGAGTCGGAAGGCCTCACATTCACCTGAGCCTAGGTTTTAGCATAAAGATACTTATTACGCAAAATCTGTGCCCAAGTAGCCTCCGTCTCAGAGGACAGTTAAATAGCCACTTGCTAAGGAGACATATGTTTTTGACTTCTAGATTTTCAATACCTAGACCTCCTTGGTCCTTCGGCCTACAGATTATATCCCACTTAGCAACCCTATACTTTCGTTTAAGCTCATCAATCTGCCAAAAGAATCGAGATCGGTAGAAATCTAACCTTTTCCTGACGCCCACCGGAACCAGGAAAAAGGATAAGAGAAACATAGGCATACTGGTAAGGGCCGAATTAATCAGAATCAATCGTCCTCCGTATGACATGAGCTTCCCTTTCCAACAGCTCAGTTTCTTTTCAAAACGATCCTCGATGCATTTCCACTCAATGTTAGTCAGCTTATGATGATGAATGGGTATACCTAAGTACGTAAACGGTAATGAGCCCAATTCACATCCGAACAATTGTTTATACGTCTCCTGGTCATCATTTGCTCTTCCGAAGCAAAACAATTCGCTCTTGTGGAAGTTGATTTTGAGGCCAGACAATTGTTCAAATAAGCATAACATCAGCTTCATGTTTCTTGCTTTCGCCAAGTCGTGCTCCATAAAGATGATAGTATCATCAGCATACTGAAGAATGGAAATCCCGCCGTCAACTAGATGTGGAACCAAGCCACCTACCTGCCCTGCATCCTTTGCCTGACCTATTAAAATAGTCAGCATGTCAGCCACTATGTTAAACAAGATCGGTGACATCGGGTCTCCTTGCCTTAGCCCCTTGTGTGTTTGGAAATAGTGTCCTATGTCGTCATTCACCTTAATCCCGACACTCCCTTTTGCGTAAAGGAATCAATCTGGTTTCTCCAGGACGGATCAAAACCTTTCATACGCAAAGCTTGTTGAAGAAAAGGCCATTTAACTTTATCATATGCTTTTTCAAAATCCACTTTAAAAACTACGCCATCAAGTTTTTTGAGTGGATCTCATGGAGCGTTTCATGCAAGACAACAACCCCTTCAAGGATGTTTCTATCAGGCATGAAAGCAGTCTGGGACGGATGAACTACAGAGTGCGCAATCTGCGTAAGTCTATTCATCCCGACCTTGGTGAAGATTTTGAAACTCACATTAAGCAGACATATAGGCCTGAACTGCTCAATGCGAACAGCCTCTGTCTTCTTAGGAAGAAGAGTTATCGTCCCAAAATTCAGCTTAAACAACTGAAGTTGTCCCTCAAAAAACTCCTGAAACATGGGCATCAAATCTCCCTTGATAAAATGCAAGCACTTTTTGTAGAACTCCGCCGGAAACCCATCCGGTCCTAGAGCCTTATTATTCTCCATTTGTGCAATGGCCTCAAACACCTCTTTCTCCGAGAAAGAAGCAGTCAGGAGCTCATTCTCGGCAGTCTCAAGTTGAGGAACATCCTCAACCCTATACTCATCTAACGACACAAGTCTCTTCTGGGGGACCAAACAATTTCTTATAATAATTGGAAAATTCTCTTTTTACGATGCTTCCCATTAGCAATCATATGAAAGAATTGAGTATTATCCTCGCCTTGTACTATTTTGCGAACCTTAGCTCGCAACGCCCACTTCAATTCCTCCTCGCGAAGAAGCTTTTTAAGTCGCATCTCCGCCTCTATCTTTGTTTCCAACTCACTGGAATCCAAGATAGAAGTTTCCGCTTTAACTTCAAGGTTTTGAATAAGTAGAAGAAGTCTCTCCTTCTCCGCCTTATAAATTCCATGCATGTGCTTAGCCCAACCACGAAGGAACCTTCGGAGATGACGAATCTTGCATTGCCATCGCTCGATAGGCGTCCTTCCTCCTGAGTCTTTAGCCCACTCCCGAGCTAACAACTCAAGGAACCCTTCTCTTTCAAACCAGGCAAGTTCAAACAAGAAAATGTTCTTGTTGCCCACAAAATTTTGAACTCCGGAGTCGACTAGTAACGGTGTATGATCCGAGACACCTCGTGTCAATTCCTGCATAGTTACCAAAGGAAACTTCTGTTCCCATTCAACACTTGCTAGAACACGGTCAAGTTTCTCAAATGTCGGAACCGGTAACGAATTAGCCCAAGTGAATTTCCTACCCAAGAGCTCTATCTCTCTGAGATCCAAGCTTTCGATAATAGTGTTGAACATAAACGACCATCGGCCATCAAAATTGTCATTATTCTTTTCCTCTTTTCTTCGGATAATGTTGAAATCCCCCCCCCCCACTAAGAGAGGGAGTTGTTCGTTACCACAAATACGAACCAGATCCGCCAAAAAATCTGGCTTGAGCTCTGGTTGCGCAGCTCTGTAAACCGCCACCAAAGCCCTATCAAACCCATCTGCCTTAGTTCTAACTCGAAACTTGACAGCAAACTCTCCCAAAACTACACTCTGAACTTCCAACGTTTCGCACTTGACCCCAAGTAAAACCCCACCGGATCTTCCTCGAGGGGGGAGGCAATGCCAGTCAAAATCAACCCCCCCGGACAAAGTGGCAAGAAATTGAGAAGTGAAATTGCTTCTTCCAGTCTCAGACAAAGCAATAAAATCTAAA